GCTTCTGCTCGGCGGCGAGGCCGCGGGGAGGGGAGCGGGCCCTCCCGCCTGGGGTGAGGGCGTGTGCGGGGGGCGAGCGGCACAGCGCCGGAACGGGAGGAAACGGGGGTCGGTGTGAGGGGGCTGGGGAAACGGGGAAAACGTGCGCGATGCCTCCGGAGAGCTGCAGTCCCTTAGGCCAGGGCCTTCGGTGCCCCTTGCGCCTTGGGCCTCCTTTCCTGGGGCTCCCCGGGCCCTGCCGCAGATGGGGTGCTGCTTTCGGCAAGGTGACAGGCCCGACCCGGCCGCCAGGCAGATAACGTGAGCCTTCTCCTCCCGGAGGCACACACCCAGCCGACCCCGGCACCGCGGTGTCTCAGTGCAGCTCCTACTCTTCTTAAATAAGGAAATAACTTTGCCTTCCCTGTAGCTGTTGTGGAGCTGAGGCACAAGAAGCCGAATCGCTTGCCCAAGGCCTTGCCAGAGCAGGGCAGGAGTACAGCAAGAGTCTGGCAAATTCTCCTCTCCTGGCCTGGCCTGCAGGCTCTGGTGATGTGACCTGGGGTTAACGGGAGGTGTTTGTCCCCACATGCCAGTTCATAGGGATGTGGTTTGGTTCCCAGCTATCTCGTAGTTGCTCTCAAGAGCCGGCTGCGCATTTGATGCGTTAACACTGGGACGTGCTTTGCCCAGCCTTCAGGAAAGGTCTTCCTGTTTCTCTGGAAGGCCCTTTATCTGGGGTTTATATAAATGCATTGTGTGCACTTGTATTTATGAATCACTGCTATGACATATGAGTGTTATGACTCACATCTTTTGGCTTTCATGGTTTGAAAAATAGCAGGGCTAATATACCGTGTTATAACAGCGAGATGCCTGGTTTTATACCCCCTCTACCTGTCCTAGGAGTCCGTTGGTTTCTCAGCATGAAGACAGCACGGTTCTGTTCTTTGTGCGATGTTGAATGTGAGGTAACTTGGAAGAAAACTTTGTTTTGGCTGCTTTGAGTCGTGCAACAATTTGTCCCATTTTGCAGTAGCAATAAAGATGAAATTGCAAAGTAGGCGAGACCTTTGCCTACAGATAATGCTTGAAATTATGTTCTCCAATATGGAAACCAGTATTTCTTTTTCCCTGCTTTTGCTTCTCGGTCCCTCCAAGGGCAAGAGAGGTTTTGTTGCTGTTCACTAATTTAATTTTGCCTACTGTGTTACTTTGAAGTCACTGCCGTGAAGGTTAGAACACAAAAACATCGGCTTTTTATGGGGGTAACCCTGAGCTGCATACTGAGGGTACTGTTTGCGTGCAATATTCGCATTAAAATGTGTCTGAAAGGCATTTTCGGTGTAGGTATGTGACCTTGTGTAGAAGGATTTGTGCTGAAAATGGATACGACATGGACTCAGTTCTCCCTCATATAACTTGAAGTGTAATTTGACAATAATTGCTGCTAAACTGGATTTTAATGTGGCCAGGTCCAGTTTAGTTTCATTTATGCAGACCAGATCAAACCAGGTTATCATCCACTCCAGGCATATCTCTTATTAAATCAGTAGTATTGGCTGAATGGCTGGGATCACCTTAATTCATCCAGGCCTAGAGAGAAGTTCAAAGCTGTGAAGAAATTGACTGTTGGGGCTCATCAGATAACAGGCAAAGGACTTGCAAATGACATTTGTAATAGCTGATTTTCAGCAATTTCTGCAGAACTGGATAGGAGACTTAAAATAGGAATTAGGCTGTCAGCTATCGGTAACCCTGTTATCAAGATAGCATTAAAAAGAGCGGATGTGTATGGAAGATGCGATATATAAACTAAACGAAAAAGTTTTGGAATTGCAGTGGAACTTGTGAAATTATGTCTTAAAATGCCACTGTTGAATTTAATTTATTCTTTACAAATCAAATAGATTAACTTCCATCATAGGAATACAGGTATTTTCCAGGTTATGCCCCTTGAAAGTATTACTGCACCCACCTATAGTGGTGATTAGATCTAACTGGTGCTCTGCTGCTGTGTCAGATTGTTAAAACGAAATGTAGGTTTGTAATTTTTGCAGAAGAGCAGATGTTGCAGCAGGAGAGCAGCAGCCTGGGAGATGGATGAGCATCGCAGAAGAGGGGGACGCACGTGAGTGGAAGGGAAGAGGAGGGAACTGAGCTGTGGCCAGTTCAGTTTAGCCTTGAGGCTGGTTGGGTGGCACCAAATTTGGGGTCAGCCACAGTGTTAGTTGTATATATGAATTATCTTCAGTGCAAACATCTGAAGGAAGGGGGAAATTTGGAAAACGTTATGTACACGTGGACAACACATCGGTAAACAGTGTGCCCTTTGTATAGGGTTGTTCCATAGGCATTGGCATCCTTGTAACTGGAGTGGTGCTCCAGCTGGATTACAGGACCTTCAGAGGAGAGATTGTGGTTGTGATTTTCATATAAAGGAGAAGTGCTGAAGGGAGCCATAGGGTAATTAGGAAGGTGGAGGACTCCTCTGAAGGGAATGTTACTGTGTTGAATGGCTCTGTGATGTCGAATGACAGGACAAGGGGAAACGGGAGCAAGCTGGAGCATAGGAGGTTCAACCTGAACATGAGGAAAAACTTCTTTACTGTAAGGGTGCCAGAGCATGGCCCAGGCTGCCCAGAGAGGTTGTGGAGTCTCCTTCTCTGCAGACATTCAAAACCCGCCTGGCCGTGTTCCTGTGTGACTTGGTCTGGTGATCCTGCTCTGGCAGGGGTTGGACTGGATGAGCTTTCAAGGTCCCTTCCAACTCCTAACATTCTGTGTGATTCTGTGATTTCACGTATAATTTAAATGGCAAAAACGTTCCCAAACATTTAGGTGTAAAGGTGACATAAGGAGAGAATTTAAACTTGGTATGAAAATGCTACATTGTAACTTTTGATGAAAAGGATTCAGGTAAAGGCAACTTCATGTTGTGTCGGAAAGAGCTGGCTTAGAGATGAGCGAACTGGTAGAGAATTGTGTGTGTGGTGTCATCCAGTTATTTTTGAAGCTTAACCAAGGAGGCTGAGCAAAACGGAGTTACTCCAGTCAGTCTTTGAACGAGGAGTTACTGGGTGATCTGTTGAGAGGGTGAAACTTCCGTCCTGCCTAGCACATTGCAAAGTGTATTTAAAGAACTTTTGTATTTCTGTTTAATAGCTGGGCCTGACCGAATAGGGCATAATGTGTTTTGGAGGACTGAGAAGCCCTGAACTGGCGATACTTGCTTTCCAACCCTTGCTTTTAGTTCTTGAAATAATACCATAATGTTATTTTTCCCCTCCCTATTACTTCAGACAAGGTTTTAGACCTAGTGATACAAGAACTGATTTGATACCTGTGGAGGCCTTTTTATTTTGAATTACTTTCATTTTTTTTAAACCAAACTTTTTCAAAAGCAGTGGCGGCACGTTGACATGTTTCATTATCAGAAATGAGCTGTGGCAAATACCACTCCCAGCTCTGTGTTGGGTGACGTTTCACAGTTTTAGAACCGTTGCTGCATTTAATTTCAAAGCTTTCCATGAAATCCTGGTGGTTGTGAGAATACTTTGCTTACTGATCTTAGATGTGCTGATGTTAGCACCTAAACAATGCTGCAGCTTTGCCAGTGAAACTGTAGTGATAAGGACTAGGGTTTTTGTCCAAGGATAGGTGTTAGACTATGGTTTGAGTATTTAATATTAACTATGTGAAGAAATGTTTCAGCTGGTTGAAATATTAGACCAAGGAGCTCTCAGTTCTATAAGTTCTCTGCCTTAAGAAAACATTGTTGGGTGAAAAAATATTACCTGTTCACCATTGTGTGATATTCTCAGCCAATATTATGGAAGATGCTTGAGTAACCTTGTTTTTTCAGTATCACTCACGCCCTGTTTTTCCTTCTTGGGAAAGTCAAGTCCATCACTTGTTTTGTGCTTGCTGTGGTTTGGGTTTTTTTTCCTTTTTATCTGCTTTGTTTCTGCAGCTGCAGTTTGATGTTGCGTCGTGGCAATCTCGCGCTGTTTTTGACACAGGGCAGTGCCTTGGTCCATTCTGTTTGTGATGCCGTGTTGTGAACTGCATCAGGGTTGAACAACTGCGAAGAATACTTTATTTGCTGCATAGTTTTTTAGCCAGATCAATTCTCCTATCTGATGGCTGGATCTGGGGATGTAACATCTCAAGTCAGTGCAGCTGCTGCGTGGTTCAGACACTTTGTCATGGCAAACCCTAAGCTCACCTAGAAATAAGGACAGGTAATTTAGAGCCAACTCTTCACAGATCTGCTGCAAACTCTTTGCTAGCAGCCTGGCAATCTCCAGATGTTCAAACCCACCATATTAAGAGCAGTGTTCTTTGTATTAAATATGTAAAGAGGTGACGGGGTAATTGTCAACACTGTATTTGCTCTTGATTGTAGTAAAGCTTCTAAACGCTTTCAAAATTATGTATAAGCAGCTGCTTTGGGAACAACCTGCTGTGGCACATTGTAAGGAGTTTTTATTCTGTGGCTAGGAGCCTTTTGTGGCAGATGAATACATTGAACGCCTGGCATGGAGAACACCTGGAGGAGGTTCCAGAGGTGGAGAAGCTTTTGATCCGAAAAGGTAAAATAAAATCGCGTGATGGTCAAAGTGAATGTGCCTCTAATTGTACTGTTTTATTACACCTGTAACAAAAAGCCTGTGTGTAGTTGTTGGTGTGTGTCCAAGGAGGTTTTCAGTTGGGAGAATTGCTAGAATTTGGAACCATGAGCCAATTATTCAGAACCAATTATTCAGTAACAAGAATAGGGAAAGTCACTTTCCAATTTAGACCTGTTGAATGATGGGGAATTTATGTTGTTTGTCCTTGTCAGACGTGAATGTTCCAAAGCACTGGAATTGCCAGATTAAAGCATAACATGAGGCTTCACTGCTATGATAGTTAAGTCAATTTGATGAGTTTCTTGCTAGTTTAGCTCCCTGAGCTGGCTTCTTGTGAAAGCCAGCAGTTTACAGTCCTGGTGCAAATAAAAGGAAGAAACAGGTAGGATGTGAAGAAAGACAGGAGCGTGGCAGTGTTGACTTAGATTGCTTTAAACTGAATTTGTGTGAACTTGCATAGTCTGAATCAAATTATCAACTTGCTGCTGCTGAATGGAGACAGATTTGTGCCACTCTTCCTTGCTTTTAGCTGCATGCTGTGGTGGCTCATCTTGACCAAGCTCTAAGCACATGTTTTCATAATAAGCTAGTTAACTCACTAAAATATCAAAAAATTAACCTGACGATAAAACAAAAATAATTTTCTCGTTGGGTTAGCAGTTCTGGGAGACTTGAAAAGCCTGGGAGCAGGTGCAAAGGGAAGAGGCTTGGTGAGGAGTGTGGGTGTGGAAAGGAGCAAGGCTGGGGCAGGAGAAGTGGGGACAGAGGAGGTGCTGCAGGACCTTCTCTGGTTTGTGGTGAGAAAGAGTTTCTCACTGTTTCTCAGCTGAGAAACCTCACCCTAAGAAGCCAGATCTTTGGTTACTGGGCCAGCATTGGGTGGTGCATTGGTAACTCAGATGCACAATTTTATACAGCAGTGTTCAGCGTCTTACGTTTCTGTACTCCAAACCTCTGTATCTTTTGTTTTTAAAGGAATGGCTCATTCAGACAGTACTACTTTTTAGCTTTTGTACCAGTAGTGTTAGTCTTTCTAGAGACATAATTAAGTGTTTTCATTTTTCACATGGTTATTACTTGGGAGATGAGCTTGACCTGCTTCCTGTTATGGTTACTGGAATGCTCTTGAGCTAGCAGGGCCAACAAAAGGTTTGGGTACCTGAATGTTGGTTTAGATTATGGTGGTATGAATTCATAGTGCAATAGCTGCTCCTTAGTGACTTCTCATCCTCATGATCTTACTCCAGATTGAGATTGTCAGTAACCTGAGCTAGAGCTCTTAAGAACCTTAGGAATTGCTCACTTGATAGGCAAGGTGTTATTATTCAGAAGCAAATATGAAAGGGACCCTTCTTCTGGAGCAGTCCTGGCTCTTTGGAGGCATTCAAGAATAGGAAGGTTTTTGGTGGAGTTCTAGCAGGATGCTGGACCCTTGACGTTCAATCCAGGGTCTGTATCCTATGCAGAGCTTTATGTGGGATTTAAGCAGGAAGAATCCTGGAAATACACAATATTGCTTCCTGTAGGTCTTTCTCCACAGTTGTGCCTAGTTACACACTTTAGGGTAGTTAATGATTTGTACCAATACCAGCTCAGTTTAACCTACGTTCTGTGTTTCTGCTGGTTTGCTTGTAATGCACTTTCTTATTTTTCAGGATGAGAGGAAGTTACTGTTCTGTAACAGTAAATATTTTTCTTGTGGGATCTTCTAGTGTTGGGCAAGGACCAAAATTAATATCAAAGAGAAGTAGACCTTCTGGTGTATGTTTCTTCTCTTCTGTTTTTTGAAGATGATGCTTTTGTTTGGTAGAAGGAATGTTGGAGTCATTATTTCTATCCTGAGAAACCTGACTAGCAGCTACCTCTTCTACTTGAGCATGCTTTCTTCTCACTGTATTGAATAGCATTGCTGAATAAGTGCTGAGTTGGCACAATACCTGTTTAAAAAAACAAAAAGCCCAAACTCGACTGAATCAGTTTGTTAAAAAGGAGTAGAAACTCTCTGCTCTTCTTGAAGCTTTTGTTTGAAAATATGCTCTGTGTCACTTACTATTGTTTAGATTTTATTTTAAATATACTTCTGCTGACTTAAGCTTGTTCCTTGTGGTTTTCTGTGGTATCTAATGCAACGTGCTTACTCTTAGGCTTCTGGCAAGCAGGAAGTGCAGGAAAGAAGCCCTAAACATCTTCCCCAATCCATTTATCTTTAATAAGTTGTGTCTTTAAGTCACTTACTGTTGTAAAGATATCACTGGTTGTAAGGAGTTCACATTCCCAGTATACCTTCTGAACAGAGTATATGTGAAAATGCAGATTCTGAAAGGTCTTGAAATAGCTCCCTGGAAAGGATTCCTGTTTCCTCTCCTCTTCTGTGTTGACATTAAACCTAGACAGCAGAGTTCTCAAATCTTTCATATGTTTTCAGTTATTAGCATGAGTTTTATGGCTATGGAGGATCTGGGAGTAATCCGTTCCCCGAGCATCAGTAGCTGGGATGTTTAGAAAAGTATTTAGCTGAAAAGATGACTGGAATGGGAATGAGAAAGAGAGAAACATTGAGAAGGGAATAAAAAAGAAAAGAGGAAATGAAGATTGCATTCAGATGTGACGTGTTTGGGAAGAGTAAGATGTGAGTCTGAAAGAAAAGTGAAAGTGATGGGAAAGGGCAGGAAAAAACCCTTAAAATTGTATATGTTATAGGAAGAAAAGAAGTGAAGTCGGGAAGCAACCCGGTGATAACAAACAGCATTATGAGGCTATAGGATTGTACTCATTGCTGATTAACAGGATGCTGATTTACAAATTTACAGTAACTTGTACAGTTGAAAATATTTTCCCGTTGCAGCCCTTACGTTGATGGAATGCAGTGACCTGAGCTCTCTTTGCTCTGATGAGACTTAGTGAGGGAAGATGAGTGTTTGGTATTTAGGTATTCCCCTCTGCCCTGGCCTACCCTTGATGTGATCATGTAGCTTTTATGTAGGTGTAGAGTTCTGCACAACTGGAGCAATGTAGTTTAAAACAAAATAGCATTTGTAAGTTAGATGTTATTATATCAGCCTTGTATGCAGCTTCTTTTCTTTGATGTGTTTTTTTTTAAGCTCTCTGCAGAGGACAGGGTCTTTCAAACTAAAGTCTACTTTCCTGTATTTTATTTTAAATCAGATTATTGGAAGAATTTGTAAATCATATCCAAGAATTACAGGTAATGGATGAAAGGATTCAGAGAAAGGTGGAGAAGCTAGAACAGCAATGCCAGAAGGAAGCAAAGGAATTTGCCAAGAAAGTACAAGAGCTGCAGAAAAGCAACCAGGTAAAATCTAAAGAGTACAGTCATTGCTAAGCTGTGTGAATTTTGAAAGCATCACATGCTCTATTAACATTTCTTGGTACAGCGTGCTCCTGTTTGAGATAAGAATAAAGAGGGTTTGATGGAAAACAATTTCCCCTGTCAAAGGGGGCTTCTCTGCATGTTCCATTAATAGGTGTTAGCTATTCTGAAAGTAGGGAGTCTTCACAATAGTTTAAAGGAGGACACTAAACTTTTAAAGTAGTTGTGTGCACTTCATTAGTGGTTCTGAGTAGTTCTGAAATACAGCACCTGAAAAGCTGGTGCCTGCATTCACTGTGCTTCTTGTTGAAGTAAACAGAGCGTTTCCTAAATTACAGTAAGTGGAAATCCTGAGTTTTGTGTCCGTATTCTCCCAGGTTGCCTTCCAACATTTCCAGGAACTAGATGAGCACATCAGCTATGTAGCAACTAAGGTCTGTCACCTTGGTGACCAACTGGAGGGGGTAAACACGCCGCGGCAACGGGCTGTGGAGGCTCAGAAACTGATGAAATACTTTAATGAGTTTCTGGATGGAGAGCTGAAGTCTGATGTTTTTACAGACTCTGAAAAGGTAAGAGCTGTCAGCGGGATGAAAGCAGTTCAAAGCAATAAGCAGTACTGCCCTAATTACAAGCTGCTACCATGACTTACCATGGTCAGACTTCAAACCAGTGAGTGACTGACTTGTTAAAGTTGCATTGTTCTGAAATGTAAATGAACAACGCTAGGCTGCAGATCGCTGATAAAGCATTTGTATTCAGTGATGCTTAATGTGGCAATATTGGCATTTTTCATTTTATGAAATTATCAGAGATTTGAGAAATGCTGGGAGGGCAACTTGAGAGTGCATACAGTATCTGCCTTTTTCCTTTGAACCCCTTGCCTCAGATCCACCCTGTAATGCAGAACGTTTCTGAATACAACTTCTTTGTGAAGCTTTGCTCTGTTGGGTCAGTCCACTGGCCTTGGATACCTTTTTGTCACAGCATGCGTTTGGGCTTTGTGTAGTCCTGTGGTTATGTCTCCACCCTCTGAATTTAGAGGAACCGGGCAGGAAAACTTCAAAGAAATGTTAAAGCATTTCGTTTTCCCTATGCTTCAAGAGTATGTTCACGATGCAAATATAGTCTGAACGGTGTGGCTAATAGAAATAAACTGAAGGAAGAGTGTCCAGCTGTAAGCAAAAGGGCACACATTAGATTTCCCTATGCAGTTAAGAAGATAAAGTTGTTGGTTTGGCTTTGTTTTTTTGTGAGGTGTGTCCTGAACAGTTTTCCCATTCTCCTTAAATTCCGTGCAGTGATATGACAAGTCAGGAAAAAACTACAGTATGTGGGAACAGCAGAAACTTGGTTTGCACATTCAGCCAAAAATACGTGCGTGAAGTGCAGCTCATAGAGGAGCTGAGAACAGGTTAGTTAATAGTCATCCCCTCTCTGCTGAGCTGAAGGCATCTCTCAGGGAAATGAAAAGCTCATCATTTCATATAGCTGTACTCCAAAGGAGTCAGTTGCGTAGTGACTTTTTGGTCTGTGCTCTGTGGATGTATGGTAACTGCCAGTTGATAGTTTGCCCTAGTCAAAGAGGGAGCACACACAAACTTTCTTTGGAGGAAAACAGAAAGGTTTCGACATAGCAGAAGTTCTTGTATGAAGAGCTGTAAAGCCTTTTCTGGATCTGCATCAGTGTCATTTTTTCCCCCTTTTTTCCTAAGTAGAAATAAAATATGGATTTTAAAAATATGTACTGGCAACATGGTAAATAACAAAACGTAAGTTAAAGAGAATTGTGTGTTGTCTGCTGAAGAGTCTTATCCGGAATTCAGCTTTCACTTTAAAGTTTTGGAATACTTTCTGTAGGAGGATCTTAAAAACCTGGTAGATAAATAGGGTAAGCCTGGAAATTGGTAAACAGATGAATCTTTATACACCCTGAAGAGTGATAAGACGTTCAGGAAGTCTGGTGGAAGACAAATGTAGTAATGGCTGGAAGTCTTGTGCCAGTCTGCAGAGGATGTGTGGGAACACAGACAAGGTTTTCTGGGTACGATTTGTGTCAGGGTGGGTTATTACTGCTCTGCAACTCTTTGCCTCCTAGTTTAAATAGTAAGTAGAAGCAGTGTTTGTGAAAGAACTTGCCTAGACGTGTGCTATCACATCTTAAGGATTCCTCAAACTAAAAGTAGTCCTAAATTAGGAGAGAGTAACAAATATTCTTAAAGGTCAAACCTTCATGCTTTCTCAGTGTCTTGTGGTCTTCGAGCTGATGTGGGTTTTAGGTAGTGTTTTGGAGGGTGTTAGGATTTTTTGTACTATGGCATCCCTCACAAGTGTGGGTTTTTCTTTGAGACATTGAGGGTAGGGGATACTGTGAAGAGAGAGGTACGGAAGGAATTAGAATGCAGTTATTTCCTAGGGAATTAATATTTTTCTCAGTAGTGTCAGTTCTTAATCTATTGGGTTCCTTTTTCCTACGCTCAAGTTGTTGATTGCCACGTTACTTTCTCCTAGTTGTACTGAACAGTTTCTAACTTTCCATCTCTTTAAGGTTTTTCCTTACTGCCTTGTCCCATACTATGTTACTGTACATCTTCATCCTCTGAATCCTTATGTTTTTCCTTGCTCTGCTGGCTAACCAGTCCCTCTCCTGTACTGAAGAGTCTTGAACTGAGCAAATCACTCCGGTTAAAACAATTAAAGCTATTAAAATGATATAGCAGCTCACTTGTCTAACATGCAATAGCATTGTCTTGTGTTTGATGTGTTGACTGTTACTCTTACATCTCTTTCTCTATTTATGTTCTGTACTCATCATTTTTCCATTATGCCTTAAAAACATTTTGTGTTAAGATTCTCTTGCCATTATTTGTTCATGATTCTTCTGATTTTTTTTTTCCAGATATGTTTTAGCCTTGATGTTGTATTTTACAGCATCTGTTTATTTTGATTTAACAGTTTACAGAAGCCAGATTCAATTAAAAATGAAATATGTCCAGATTTAAGCAGAAACCATGGAGAATTGATTTGCTGTGGCTTCTGTTGTGTGTAAGAAAAGGCCCTGAATTCAATAAAATCTTAGTTAGTTAACAGTTATTGTGTGAAGAGGAGACAAAGAAAATGTTGAGTTTGTGGGGTGTTTTGTTCTTTTTGTTCTTTATTTTTTTCTTTTTAATTTTTTTTTGGTAACGTAGGTGAGTAACAGCTAATATACAGACTGTTCTAATGACGTGGCATTGATTGCAGTTGTTAGGTATTAAGGCTGCTGTAAGCTAATAGAAAGAACCGCCGTTTCATTGGATTTATGTGAGGACCGTAGCTCCTTTTGACTGAAGAGGCTGTTGTAAGCTGACAGTTTGAAACATCATAAGCTACTCTTAATAAGCAGGATGGATATACTTTGAGAGCTCCTGTTTTTGCTGTCCAACCAACCTAGCGTGATGCTCGTGCTCTGTATCCTTACCTGTATGTCCTGTTCTTGAGAAGTTTTAATCCCAATCTGCTCTAAGAAGTGGGAGAATAGGGATTTGTTACTCTCACTCCAGTTACCTAGAGCATGACTAACAGGAAAAACAAGATAAACTCTGTGTTCTCCACTTCTCTGTTGTGTCAGCTTATAAAGGGAGTAGCTAGAGCTTCCATCTCTTCGAGGTGCTTTCCACAGCATAATAAAGCCTGTAAAGCCATCCCAGAGCTGTCCTGTTTGGGCCAGTCAGCACTGGGTGCTTAAATCCACTGAACTTCAGTTGCAACCAGCTGCATCCCCCACGTTTTCAGAAGTGGAAATAGGTGTTTTCTGCAGTTTGTCAGCCTTGCAGAACAGTCGCTGAGCACTCCTGAGGTGCACTGCCCGTGCTGATTGATCGTGGAAGAATAAACTACAAAAGGTTTTGCTGTCCAGCACAGAGCAGAAATTTGCACCTTATGTATTAGTTTGTGACTTCATGCAGCTATTCATATTCTGTAGATGCATGATTAACTTTCATTTTGATCTTTGCTTTGGAGTTTATAATTTCCTTTAGCTTCCATTTCTCCTTCCTTGGGAGAATGTGAGATATTCCCACTACACTCTGCTTTGATCCCATTTTTCCCCTTTCTCCCCTCTCCATGTTGAGCATTATCATGACTTGTGTTTGGATACAGCTAAATAAAGAATTCCCCAGAGCTTTTCCTGACGTGTCTGAGAGGGTTGCTGGCCATTTCTCTTCTAAGTTCAGCAGAGATCTCTTCTGGTTGGGTGTGAGGCAGTAAGACTCTTATCCTAATCCTTTGTAAAGCCAGCTGTGTGTTACTGTTCTGTATTTTATTCCCAAATGGAAAGGCCCAAATTTTCATGTGATTTCTCTAGCCACGTTCTGATCTGATCAGCCCTGAGGAGTCTCTGGTCTGAAAGCTGTAGAGTTGTGTTGGCATAGATCAGCTATTTGTCCAGGTAGCTTAGACACCTACACAGGCTCCCACTATGAGCATAAAATGAAAGACTTCTTGTCATGTTTTGACCTGTATAATTTCATGTTAAAAGCAATACCTTAAGCGCCATAAAAAGAACATACAGGAACTTAAAGGGGGTGATCTCTTCCATGGGGATATCAACTCAACCAGCTTTAGAGGTAGGAACTACCTGTGTGAATACTGAACAGTGGAGGGAGAGGACAGGAGTAGCCCACAGTCAGACCTTTAATATTGCTGTCATGTTTTGCTCTTAACAGATTAAAGAGGCAGCTGATATTATTCAGAAACTACATTTGATTGCACAGGAGCTGCCTTTTGACAGGTAAAATTCTATTGGAACTTTTTTTTTTAAGTATTCACATAGCTATAATTTTCTGATGCTTCCCTTGTCTACTTTTTGGCGCTTTACTTAGTGATTCATGTGGCTTTTGAGATGGATTGTGTGCTTATTTCTCTCTCCTCTATTCTCAAATTTGTGTTCACGCACTCATGATGTAGGATCATCTTTACATACGCATCCTAAACTGCTTAACAGACTTTTAATGGGATAATTTTGCTGTGCTGCCTTAATGCTAGATTTGAATTAGATGCTTGTAGGTTTTTACGGATACAAAGCGTGTAACTTTTCTGTCATCTTTGTGTTATGTATTTTAATTTTTAAGTAGAGCGCCTGTTACTTCTGGTCTAGGATGTCTGTGATTTCTTTTGTGATGTGCATTTGAATTTAATCATGGCATTTTTTTGTTGTTAACAGGTTTTCTGAAGTAAAATCAAAGATAGCAAGTAAGTTATCTATCTGGTTCAATCCATATTCCTGTATTTAAATTGTTAAAGAAGATTACAGAAGTGTGCAGTACTGTCAGTATTACGATTTTTGTCAGTGCTTGTATGACATAGCCTGATGGATTTTTGTTGTTATCCCTTTTCCTCTCCAGGTAAATACCATGATTTAGAGTGCCAGCTAATTCAAGAGTTTACCAGTGCACAGCGAAGAGGTGAAATCTCCAGAATGAGAGAAGTAGCAGCAGTTTTGCTTCACTTTAAGGTAAAAAGTAAAGGTTTTAATTTAAATACATAAATAAAACAACCTATGATACAATAAGTGCCTATTTTAAGTGAACGTATTTGCGTGGGCAAAACGACCGTATCTGATAACGTGTGTAACCTCAGAAATACTGAGCTGTTCCATCTAAAGTCAAATGCAGGGTAATAAAGGAGGCAGATGATGGGGGATTGGAGGTGGAGACCATTCTAAGATCACTTTTCTTGTGTGTGTCTGGACTGACTTTCATGCTTGAGAAAGCATTGAAACCTGTGGCGTATGCCCATATAGAGTGGTGATAAGTAAAGTTGTATTAGGCTTGTGACAAAAATGGATTTGAAAGAGTCTGTGCTGGTTTTTTTTTTTTTTTGCAATAACTTCTTCACAGGGGTTGTATTTCCTTGATTTCATTCTCTGCTGAAAACATGGAGAACCTGCTTTAACACTGAGTTGTTTTGTTCCTTCCACAGGGCTATTCCCATTGCGTTGATGTGTACATAAAACAGTGTCAAGAGGTAATGCATTTTGTTTTACCTGTATCTCTTTGGGTGTTAATTGATTTATTCCTATAGGGTGTTGTCAGTATATTATGAAATGTGTTTCTAAAACCCTAGGGTGCATTCCTGAGGAATGACGTCTTTGAAGATGCAGCCATTCTCTGCCAGCGAGTGAATAAGCAAGTTGGAGAAGTCTTTAGTAATCCAGAGACTGTGCTAGCCAAACTCATTCAAAATATTTTTGAAGTTAAACTTCAGGTATTTTAAATTTTAAGATGTTGAAGTTCATTGAGGAAACTTTAAATCCAAAAATATTGTATCTAGTAATAACAATTAGGGGGAGTTTACAATATTTGTAGTCTTGTATAAGAATGTAGAATCATAGCTGATTGCTCTTTAACAGTTCGGACAGATAATCAAGCCTATATCAAATGAAGCTGCTTGCACTCTGAATGCAGTGCAGCTGAAAATGCTAAAATTCAGTATGTAAAATTATAAGGGCATCAGTATGTTTATTAAGTAATTAATAAGATGTTGTATGTGTGTTTGATTTTTTTTCCTGTGTGTCCCCTACCAGGGATATGTCAGGAAAAGAAGTTTCACATTTAATAAATGTCTTCAATCTGTTTGTTCCTGGAATTGGATTTCATGTGTGAGGTTGGCATTGAATAAGTGAAAATAACTTATGCTGTGAATGCTGTCTCACAGCTAATGCAGTATGTGTATGGAAGTCTGGAATAGCTGAAAAAATAAAGTTTTCCATCCTGTGAATACACTCCACTTAAGTGTGTCAAGTCACCAAGACGACTATTGGTTGAAAGGGCAATTTCCCTGTAGATGTTATTCTGTGTCGAGATTGAGCTTGCCTTTCAACCCCAAATTTGTGTGTCAGTTTTGACTTACTGTGTTATGTTAAATAATATTTTTACCCAAATATTCAATGACAAGAAGGTTTTAAGCTTGTATCTGCTTTGTATACATTACAATAAGTAAATATGTAAGCATCCCCTCTGCTTACTGTCAGCTGCAGAAGTGCCCGTAGGCCTCCAGTGCTTTTGACTCTTAAAAAGTGGGCATTTTGTGGTGTTTGGTCAAGCATATTTTCAAAGCAATCTGTCTTTTGTCTTTGCTTCACACACTACTGCTTTGTATTATTGTATTTTCTTCTAAAATAGATATGTAACGCTATCTGTAGATAGCACAGGATCTGTAAATTAGAGATTTAAAACCAAAGCGTATGTGAATTACCTTAAGTAAGATGCATGCTTTGCAGTAAACTACCGATAATGTACAAGTAGTGAATAGGACCTGTTCTTCTCATAGAACCTGGTAGTTCTTCTAACAGATTTACCCACATTTTACAGAGTTATGTAAAGGACCAGCTAGAAGAACACAGGAAATCAGATGCAGAACAGTATCTTAAGAATCTCTATGATCTATATACAAGGTATTTAAAATATTGATGATGATGAAATTATTGTTGTAGATCTCTTGTAATAGAATGGTTTGTTATCAAGATGTAGGAAGAGAAGCCAAAAATGTACACTTCCCATAAAAATGGAGACGTTTTTATGGCCGTTAACTCTCACAATGTTTGCTTTCCTAAGAAAAATTTTAAAGTACCTTTATTATTTGTAATGGGAAGTATTTAATGTAGTGATCTTTGAAAGTGATATTAAAACGGTGCAAAAGCCAGTCCTCTGCATCTAACTGGCAACTTCCTTGACTGCGCTTGTTCTGTATGCGATTAAGTAAAGAGTTTGGCATAATTCGTGTTTGACTGTAAAGCTGCTAGAAGTCTTAATCGCCATCAGGATTCTGTTGTGCTATGTACTTTGCAAACGTGTAATGCTGTAATTCATATAAACTCAACCTTTTCCTCCTCTCTCCTCCTTTGTTTCTTTTGCACGAAGAACTACTAATCTGTCAAGCAAATTGATGGAATTTAACTTGGGTACTGATAAGCAGACTTTCTTGTCTAAGCTTATCAAATCCATTTTCATTTCCTACTTGGAGAATTACATTGAGGTGGAAATCGGTTACTTGAAAAGTAGGAGTGCAATGATTCTGCAACGCTATTATGATTCCAAAAACCACCAGAAGAGGTCCATTGGCACTGGAGGGTAAGTTTCTTCGGTGAAGTTTTGTAGTTTTAAAATGGAAGGGAGGTGGTAAGGGGAGAAACGTAGTGTTTGCCATATGGGATGTACAGTGATGAACTGCAAAAGAGCTTTTAAAATGACCTACAGCTTTTCGTAACTTGCTATCACTTTATGTTAACTTCTAAAAAGTGTATTGCTCTCGGTACATGTGAAAGGTGATGCATGGTATTTATACGCTCATGGGAAATGAAAAATACCAGTTAAACCTATGTTTCAACTTAGGATCCAGATCCACAAAAGGACTGAAGCAAAATTAAGGTACCTAAAGCATGTATATGTGTGTATCTAAAAGCATACATTTTTTTTCACCTGCCCAGGTCTTGTGGTCCCCTCCCAAGACCTAGGAAGGGGAAAAGACCATAGCAATGTCAGTGAGAAAGCTCTTAGTGAGCCCAGAAGATGCAATGGACTTAGAGAAAGGTAAAACAAGACTTCATTATCCTCAGGGTAGAGAAAGTCTAATAAAGGAGTGGTGAGAAGTGGGAAAGGAAGAATTAAAACTTTTGTGTGAAGCAGAGGTGATAAGACTACTGCACCTTTCAAAGAGCTACTGGGTTCAGTGTGACAGGAATGAGAAGTGATTTGGAGAGAACAGCAGCAGCGAAGTAATTAAATGAATTAAGAAACAAAGATGAAAATTTAATTTTCTTGGGGAAAATTAAATTGCCTGTAGTGACTGACGTTACGGGTTGTTTTCTGCATGGCGATGTGTTGGAGCATGCTTGACTAAATCAGGACTGTGGAGACAGTGGACGAGGATGAGAGGATTTGTGGGCGTGGATGAGATAGAAAGCCCTCTTTTTTTGGAAGTATGATGGGACAGAATGTGTGGAGGCTAAACTTTGTCCACAGAGAGCGTAAGCGAAGGATTCAGTTGAAATGACTCTCATTCCACAATGGGGAATAGCTGGTCCCATGGTGTGAACGTGCCATGGTAGAACACAGTTGACCATGGGATCAGAGCTGGTAGTTGTGCGTTTACAAGCAATATCTTTGAAGCTTGCAAAATTGTCTTAATGCTTACATATCCTAAACCGTGTCTTGGGTTCCTAAATCATTGTTGAATTTTAGCATCAAAATTTCCATCCACTGAAATCTTATTTTGGTTTATCTTTGTTCTAGCATTCAAGACCTCAAAGAGAGGATAAGGCAGCGCACAAACTTACCCTTGGGGCCAAGTATTGACACACACGGAGAAACTTTTCTGTCGCAGGAAGTGGTGGTTAACCTCTTGCAAGAAACTAAACAAGCTTTTGAAAGATGTCACAGGGTAAGTTTGCTTCTTGTGATCTCCATTAGTGATACGATTTTGTGCATGAAGTTAAAACTCGAGGTTCAGTTTTCAGTTGAAGTGTGATAGGAAGACAGGAAGGACAACTTAACTATGCAAAGGGAAGTTAAATGTGTCCCTGACTAACTGATTGTAATATTTATATCGTGACAGATCTCACACACAGAATCACACACAGAATGGCTCGGTTGGAAAAGCCCTCTGAGATCATCACGCCCAACCGTTCCTGTCTACCCCCTAAACCATATCCCTAAGTACCTCATCTACCCGCTCTTTAAACACATCCAGGGATGGTGACTCCACCACCTCCCTGGGCAGCCTGTGCCAGCTTCTGACGACCCTCTCAGTAAAGAACTTCCTCCTTATCTCTGACCTGAACCTCCCTTGGCACAGCTTGGTGCCGTTTCCCCTTGTTCTATCCCCCATCACCTGGGAGAAGAGCCCAGCACCCACCTCTCTCCAAGCTCCCTTGAGGCAGTTGTAGGTGGTGCTGAGGTCTCCCCTCAGCCTTCTCTTCTCCAGGCTAAACAAGCCCAGTTCCCTCAGCCGCTCCTCATCAGGCTTGTTCTCCAGAGCCCTCCCCATCCTTGTGGCTCTTCTCTGAACACGCTCCAGAATCTCCACATCCTTCTTCTAGTGAGGGGCCCAGAGCTGAACACGCATGCAGATATGCAGATGCATGCAGATATGCAGTGTGTCCTAACTGTGACTGCTTTAGGAGAAACAAGTTGGTAATTCTGAATGTAACCGTACATTGCAGCATTTCTGTGCTTGTCTGTAACAGTGTTTTGTTGTTGGGGATTTTGTTTTGTTTGGTTGTTTTTGTTTTTTTCTTTGGAAATAGAGCAAAAATCTTTAGGAGCGTTATTGCGTAAATTGCATTGCAGCAGTGATCTTTCTGACTCCTAGCTTTGTAAAATCTTCACATTATTCCTTAAAAACAAAAGCCGTATTTCTTGTGTACTAAAGTCCTATCACATTTTTCTTTAGAAAAGGGATTTTTCTGGCAGGTTGCTGTCCAAACTCCCACGTTGCTCACAGCTCACGAGGGTACACAGATGCTGTGTGTATATGTGGGCGTTACTTCACTTAATAAAAATGGTCGTGCTCCGCTGGCTCCGGCTGAACTGTGATAAGTGCTGCTGACGGTCAGTCGGTGTTATTTTTCTGCAGTCCTGTGGCAGTGATAAAGGAGTGGCTGCACTGGGTGACACTGAAGCTCCATCAAACCCGGTGTCCTGTCCCCGGTGGCAGAAGCTTGGTAAAAATGAGAAAAGGCAGGGCATGGATAGCGTAGTAATCTTTTCTGTGTGCATTTTCCCAGCACTCAGTAGTACGCAGTTTGGGAAATTCTTGAGATTGCATCTGAGTAATTGTGTGTTAAGGACTACTAATTAATATTTTCCTTTATTATTAGTACTATTACTATTAGAAACTGTTTCTGTTTTTGCTTTCTGTAGCATTCTGTGGCACGTTGGTTTCAGTTTTCTTGTTAATGATGCCTTATTAATACTAAAGGCTGTTCCTGAATCAATTATTCTGGAATACTTGTTACATTTCAAGCTTATCCCCTACACAGTATCGGATAAACTTTCAAATATATGCAGAACTGACCTTTAGGATACATTTTTTTTCTTTTTCTTTAAAGCTTTCTGATCCATCAGACTTACCCAAGAATGCTTTCAGAATTTTTTCCATGCTTGTGGAGTTCTTATGTACAGAGCACATCGATTATGCGTTAGAAACAGGCCTTGCTGGTGAGTACAGTATTTCCTGAGCATTTCATCTTAATGGCCTTTGTGCAGGTGATCTTTGCAGGTCCTTGCTGTGCCTTATTGATTGGCCTTGTTCAGAATGTGTTGGTTAAATGAAATTTGTTTTGGGTACTTGGGAGTCGGCATTTAATGACTTCTGACTTCCATTTGGGGAATTCATGCACAGATGGAAACATGCCACTGTCTTCAGAAATGTTTGTGCTGCAGAAATTGGGGCATCAGCACCTACCTCTTTTAATTGTGCTCTGTGACGTAGCAGGAGGATATTTTTACATTAAGGCTTAGTGTGCTATGTTTTATAAGAATTCTGTGCTTGTTTGTATGCCTGTGCATGTTAAAAGTGACAGTAAATAAGAAAACTGCTTGTATTAGAGAAGAATATTGTCGATGAGAACTTCTCTGCAGACATTCAAAACCCGCCTGGACGCCCTCCTGTGTAACCTCATCTGGGTGTTCCTGCTCCGGCAGGGGGATTGGACTGGATGAGCTTTTGAGGTCCCTTCCAATCCCTAACGTTCTGGGATTCTGTGATTCTCTTTCCTACATGAAAGCATAAAATTCATGTTCTGAAGAAATATTGAAATGGTTCTATTTTTAGAAGATATTTCTGTGCTTATGGTTATTACCTGATATAGCCATGAGAAGTATTCTATATATGGCACCGTGGTGAATTTTTGAAACTAAGCCTGTGTTTTAAGCATTCATGGAAAAATTTTCCATATTGAAAAAAACCATCATGCTAATTATAAGACTGGTGTGTCATTACAGCTCTTTTGAAACCTCCTTTGCTTTAGGTATTCCCTCCTCTGATTCAAAGAACGCAAATCTTTATTTCTTGGATGTTGTCCACCAGGCCAATACTATTTTCCATTTATTTGACAAGCAGTTCAATGATCATCTGATGCCATTGATCAGGTACCTTAGTTTGGGTAGCATTTCCTTTGTGAATGGTCATTTTGGGAAGAAAGCTTTCTTTTTTTTCATTCTTCATCTCTTTGGAGGCCATGGGTTGGATCCAAGGGAGGCAGAGTGCACTGAGAGGTTGGGTTTGCTCTGGGTTTGCTCTCCCACCTGCCAGGGGCTGGCAGAGCTGAGAGGCGTTGTTCTGCCTAAAATACATTGCAGTATTGCCCAGCAGCACCCAGCAAATCCTGCTCGGGGTCAGACGCTCCTCAGGCTGTCGATTTGTTGTTCTGAAGCCAGCGAACCCTAAAGATCTAAAGTAGCCCGTTCTGATGGGATGGAAAATGTTCACAAAATTCTGCTGTAGGTAGCAGACCCAGGAGACAAATCTGTTTTTTATATTCTAACACAGTCTCACACATTTTGTACCTTTGCAGTTCTTCTCCTAAACTATCTGAATGCCTTCAGAAGAAAAAGGATATCATAGAACAAATGGAAGTCAAGCTGGATATGGGCATTGATAGGCAAGTGGAGACTTAAACTTTCTCATTAATTCTTGTTAAACCTCTTTGTGATGTAGCTTTCCTTATAAGGGTGATTATTTCTCAACACAAAATTTATTTTTTTAAAATCCATAAGTATGCATCAGAGAGCAGCGTAGGGGAAAGGGACCTGGGGGTCCTGGTGGCCAGCAGGATGACCATGAGCCAGCACTGTGCCCTTGTGGCCAAGAAGGCCAATGGCATCCTGGGGTGTATCAGGAGGGGTGGTTGTAGGTCAGAGAGGTTCTCCTCCCCCTCTACTCTGCCCTGCTCAGACCGCATCTGGAATATTGTGTCCAGTTCTGGGCCCCTCAGTTCAAGAAGGACAGGAACTGCTGGAGAGAGTCCAGCGTAGGGCTACAAAGATGATGGAGGGAGTGGAGCATCTCCCTTATGAGGGAGGATGGAGCCAGGCTCTTCTCGGTGACAAACAATGATAGGACAAGGGGTAACGGACACAAACTGGAACACAGGAGGTTCCACTTCAATTTGAGAAGAAACTTCTTCTCAGTGAGGGTGACAGAGCCCTGGCCCAGGCTGCCCAGAGAGGTTGTAGAGTCTCCTTCTCTGCAGACATTCAAAACCCGCCTGGACGCCTTCCTGTGTAACCTCATCTGGGTGTTCCTGCTCCGGCAGGGGGATTGGACTGGATGAGCTTTGGAGGTCCCTTCCAATCCCTGACGTTCTGGGATTCTGTGATTCTTGTGGATAGGAAATTTAGGTTTTGTTTGTTTATAGGGTCATGTTTTCCATGGCAGATTTCTGACCCATAAATACTTCTGGAATGATGCTGAAGAGTTTTAGTTACGTTGAAAGAGTGCAGTAATTCAGTTTTGCATTACTGTCTCAAACTGCTTTTTTTCTACTTTAAAGGAAGTAGGAAGGATGATTGAAATAGGTTAAAGACTTGCAGGATTTCCATTAGGAGCAAAGTTTGACAAAAATGGGTTAGGTGATTTGCTCGAATCTGTGCAGTGCTATGGATTAGACCTAGTCATAGAAGTCTGTAGACCTGGAGTAATTTTTATTCTGACATTGACTTGCTTTGAGATTGACTGCCTCATTTAATCTTTTTTTTTGTTATTATTCATTTCTCCAAATAAAAATGAGGGGATAGCTATAAAAATTGTAAATTAAAATCAGAGCTGTTTTGCAGCAGAGGAAAATAACAAACTATCAAGCTTCATATTAGGAAATGGAGCTGTTGTGTGTTGCCCTACTTCGGTCCAGGAAGCACGTCGTGTTCCCATATTTCAAGTCAACCTGAAATATGTTACCTAAGCTTTCTGTGCCTGTTTTCTCACTGTAGTAACTGAAATAAGCCATTCTGTAGAAATTATTAGTGAGGTTTTTGTAAGGTTCACAGCACACTGGAGAGGGATGAGAAGAGCACTGTGTGGGACAAGCGGGCATTGCCTTTGGGTCCTATGGGTGCTTTCTGCAGGGAGACGAGGAGGATTCAATGCGTTATTTGCACCTGGATTTTCTGCAGGTGCAGAAAAAAGGTGGAGATGGAGGAGGTCTAAGCGGCAGCTGAGATTTTAGCTGCTTCTGCTGGAAGTGACCCTGGAGGTTTAAACACAAAGTTTGAAATACTTGAACCATTGAGGCCATAAGCTTTGATCTAGGCAGGCATAGGTCAGTCATGAGCCTTACAATGGTTTGTAACTGTTTGTGTAAAATAATGAATCTCTTAAAGGTGATAGGAAGACTTAGGAGAACGAGTCCCTGTTGGAAAATGGCACATTCGTTGGTTTGTGGATGAGGACTTCAGAAAACATTTGTGCTTTGGCAGATAAAGAGATTGGTTTTGAGATCAATGTTACATGTAGAACGTTTACATGCTGCTTTGTGGTGCCGCTGATGCTGTTGAGAATTGATTGTCTTGCTTAAAGGAATGATCTAGTTTAAAAAATAGAAGCAAATGTCTAAACAGTGGTGGTTTCCACATTATCCAATCTGAAAAAGTCCAATGGAAGCTTCTTGAATGGCATTTGCAGCAGTTGTCTACCTCTGTCAAAGTGATTTATTAGCCAAACAAAATGAGTTCAGCTGGTTTTCTTTGTGTGTGTTCTGTATAAGCAGCCTTCTGGGAATATTTGTTGAAAATGGAAATTGAGGAGAATGCAAGATATAATTGCTTTAAATTTCTGTTGGTATGCGATTTGGTGAATGAAGTACCCCTGAAATGCAAGTCTTCTACGCACAGAAGCCAAGTGCTTTCCCTCTTTTGATACGTGTATTCTTCTCCCCTTCACTCCAGCTTGAATACTTCAAGGCCTGTAGTGGCCTTGACTGTGTTTTCTCCGGGGAGATTAGAAAGGTGAGGAAAAAAGAAAACGAGACAGAGGGAGGGTCCTGGCAAAGGGAGGCACTGAGAGAGGTACACAGCTTCTCTCAGCTGCTTGGCTGTTTGACCTTTGGTTTGGACTTCATGTAAAGCAGGGTCCTGACCTTAGATAATGCTCTGAAAAGAGAAGTCTTGAGAGGGAGAAAGAAATGACACTGTAAAACTCTATTAGGTTTCTGAACAAGAGAATACCAAGCTCTGGCAAGGGAAGAGGGTTTACCTTTTTCTGATGCTTCTGGGTAACAACGCAATGTGATCTTGTTCTGCTGAACTCTGGAATGCTTCCCTTGGCTTTCTGATTCCCTCTGTTGAAGAACACTGTCCAGTTTCTCTGAGGAGCTGGATTTGAATGGATTGCCCTACAATTAATGTGTCCCTTTTAAAACCAGCTGGCCAGCGTGCTGCGTGCGGTGCTCCAAGACACTGAACTTGGAGGAGAGTATTTTTAGGATTGTTGGGGTTTTAATTTGACTCATTCTCCTTCCTTCTGACTGCTTATGTAAAATCAAGCTTATCTTTTCTAGAGAATTGCATTGCAGCTTCAGAAAAGAGTGTGTGTGTGTGCGTGTCAGTTAAATCAAGTATTTCCTTTGACGTATCCTAGCACCACTTGCTTCTTACCCTAAAAGCAAACATTTATTCTGTCTTCTGTAGATTACTCAAATGTTAGGTGGTGGGGTTTTTTTTCCTCATTGCCTTATGCTGCTTACGTTTGTGTAGAATCATATTAGTATATGTAAATATAAAAAAATCAAGGAAATTAAAATGTTCCCTTCAAAACCCAATCTGTATTTGTAACTTTAAAGGACCCTGAATTGTATGATTGGACAGATGAAGCATATCTTGGCTGCAGAGCAAAAGAAGACAGATTTTAAACCAGAGGATGAAAACAATGTTTTGATTCAATATACTAATGTAAGTAAACTGAATCCCAGCTCATCTGTAGCTTCAAATGCTTGTGAGTGTTAGCAGCTGCGAGCACACAGGAGACAACGTGTGCACTTGGCCAATTTACTTAGCTCTTCCATTTTGCACCAAGCATCTCCACACTCTGTTGTGGACTGTTTTCTCAAGCTGAAAAGGACTATTAACAGTTTCATATCTAGCGTCAGACACAAATCAGGAGGTGCTGGACAAACTGTCAGAGCCTTTCCCCTCTGAAGAGGCCCAGGTTTGGATCAAGATTTTTAGCTGGTAATTAGCTTTAAGCTATCAGTTTCAAAATAATCAGTTATCAGGTACTCTAGTTGCTGGGTGCTTTTTCCCATGAGAATGGCAGGCGCATGACAAAGCATCACAGGGATGGCATAAACATTTTTTGTGCACAGAGTTGTCTCTGCCACCAAATCTGTCTGAATCCCGGCCTGTGGGCTGCGGAGAAGCTGCGGTGCTGGGTGACATTGGGCTCTTGTTAGGGAACAGCACAGAGGGAGGTGGAGAGCAAACTGCAGCCAAGGGGAAGAAGTGGAGCAGTCTGGTGTGACATGGGAAGGGTGAAGATGCCTGCATGGCTGTTAATTTGGGTTTATAACTGCAGCAGACAAGGTATTTCATCACTTCCCTCCACATGTACACGCACCCCTTGGTTGTTCATTATTTGAATTAAAAGCCCAAATTAAACTGTTCTATTCCAAACTGGTATGAACTTTAATTTAAGTGAATATTGTCCTGCATCTGTCTTTCTAGTTATATTTTTGCATCTTTACGTGGCAAATGAAAAACTGTTGGAAAATTAATTTGAAAAATGACTAATTTCAATGGTATATCGTGGGAGATAAAGACTTAGAGACTGATGTTCAGCTTATGATGTCGAAGCGACTTTGAGAAGAATAGATTTCTAGAAAGTAAATTACCTAATTTTTTCTTTTCCTTTTATTTAGGCTTGCGTTAAAGTGTGTGGCTACGTTAGAAAGCAGGTGGAAAAGATCAGAAATTCTATGGATGGGAAGAACGTGGACACAGTTTTGATGGAGCTGGGAGTTCGTTTTCATCGACTTATCTATGAGCACCTACAGCAATATTCCTACAGTTGCATGGGAGGCATGTTGGCTATTTGCGACGTGGCTGAATACAGGAAGTGTGCCAAAGACTTCAAGGTAATACATAGTGATGTTATATATTCTGGTTCTATACCAGCAGTTCTTTGTAATGTCCAGAGCAGTTTGCTGATACCAATTTGTTGCTTGCAGGCTGCGTGTGTTCATTGAAGAATTTATGTGTTCGGTGCCTAACTTTGCCTGTGTGCAAAGTGCCTCCTTACAGGGCTGTATCTTTTTAAGTTTTTTTTAATGCACACATGAGGAGAGAATGCTGGATGTAAATTCTCTGTAGGGAGGGAGTATTTTGAAAGTCTAGGTGGAGAGCGTGTCATAAGCATTCAAGCAACTCTAACTCTTAATATTTCTTTCTCTCTTTTTCTCTTAACTGCAGATTGCGCTGGTGTTACAGCTCTTTGATACCTTGCATGCACTTTGCAATCTTCTGGTTGTAGCCCCGGATAATTTAAAGCAAGTTTGCTCAGGAGAACAACTTGCTAACCTGGACAAGAACATCCTTCACTCTTTTGTTCAGCTGCGTGTTGATTATAGGTCTGCTCGTCTTGCTCGTCACTTCAGCTGAGAGCGTGGAAAAGGAAATGTACCTTTGGGCAGGCCTCAGTTAGAAAGCACAGGAAATGATTTCTTACCGAACCATGGTTGTAACTTTAGTGAGATAGCGACTGTTCAGAATAAAGCAGCAGCCATATTTAAACATGACTGTGTAGGAGGCAAGCAGGTAAAAATCTGAACGCTATTAAATGTAAGCTAAAACTCTCCTGGTGAAGAACACTGCAAATCTACTTGCTACTGATTTTGTTTTTACTGGAAATGTCAGTGTAGGAAAGCAAGTGGTGCATTGAAAGTATTTTAGTCTTCAATATTGAATTGAAGAACATTGCAAATCTACTTGCTACTGATTTTTTTTACTGGAAATGTCAGTGTAGGAAAGCAAGTGGTGCATTGAAAGTATTTTAGTCTTCAATATTGAATTATCAGATACCATTTGTTAGACTTGAACTGCAGAGCATAGCGTAGGTAATGGATTACATAGAATAGACCAGTGTAGAAACATTCTTCATCAATTTTAATGACTTAGACTTCAGCACAGCTAATCATAATCAAATTATCTCTGATTGGTGTTTCTAAGTCATTTCTTTCATTTTAAAGCGTTATCCTGCTCAATGTAATTTCTTGCTCTAAGTAATTAGCTTGGAATTTCTTTGAGATGTAGGAGCATAAGAGCAACGCTCTCCCAGAAAGCTGTGATTTATCATTGTGTAGCGTTCTAAACAGAACTAAAGCGGTGAAAAGTTTTGGGATTTATTTGGTGCTTTGGGGTTTGGTTTTTTTGCGTCTAATAGCTGATGGCCCACCGGAATTGACTGGCGTTGTGTGATCTGATATTCTTGTCTCTGTTTCATACTGGCACACCGAATTTTATATATGCTCCTAAAGTAAATACAGCTGCCTTGTCTAAGGCGTTCTTATTACGAGGTGAAGGTGCCCACTGTTGGGTTAATGTAAGAGAACTTTCTCTCGTCTCTTGTTTTGTATGTAAATAAATTCAGATTCTAACAAAGGGAAAGGATAAAACATAGCCCAGTTGTTTGGATGTGGGAGGAACGGGCAGTGGCTCTAGCAAAAACCTAGAGCCGAAAATCCCTGTGCTGCAGAGAATGAATTGTCAGTGCCTGAGCAATATAAAATGTTGAAGTGCGCAAAAGCTTCTCTCCCACTGATCATGGTTTTGATGTTGGAGGTGTAACTTTTGTCCGTGACGCTCCAGCATTTATTGGAGGTGTTTCCGAGATGGACCCATAGTGTGCATGTAGTGAACTGAAGCAACGGTGATGTTTGAAACATGTGGGATGGCTTTTCCACGAGCAGTTGAAAATCATCGTAAATAACTTCTGTTCAGATTAAGCTGCTGTGGAAAACGGGTTGGAACTGCTGTGTCTGTGTCTGAAGTCTGATTTTTATATCATCCCTCAACCAGTCACCCCTAACACGTTATTTCTACTGTGAGCTCAGCGTATGGTATGGAAACTTCCTTCTGTCCCATCTCCGAAGCAGCATTTCTAGAAATTAACTTAATGGGTTGGTCAATTAAAACAATTTTCCTCTTTTGTTAATGACTTCCCAGGTGTAGTCAATATTGACAGGCTTGTGTGGAACTTCTCTTGGTTAGTTGAGGTTCTTCTGCTTCATTTTATGTTTAGCAGAACATTGTATCGGTAAACAAGAGAACGGATGCAGGGCTGTCTCAAATTTGGCTGCTGTGAGGTTCGTAGCTCTATTCCTTGGCCATGGCAAAGCCACAACGAGTTTTGGACACTGGAGGAGGCACATGCCTGTACTGCTGCCATAAAAGCTCTGATGTGAGTTCAGATGATACCTCTCTGTTACCTCTGGAACTGAAAGACAACAATTTTAAGGCTGTGGTTTCAGTAACCAATACAAGATCTTTCTACAAAACAGTGTCCGTTTCTAAATGCTTCAGAACAGCGAACATCGTCTTAAGACTGCAGGTCACAGAAGTGCTTCAGAATTTGCTGTATGATTGTTTGAATTCTTTTAAGGTTGTATGAAATGTGCTTACCATATTTCTGGCTTTATTAGCTGTGTTTTCCATGCGTATGCTCAGTGCAATATTTTCATTATGGCTGTTAACAGGAGGCAGCAGAAAGTAGGTGAGTACTTAAACTTAGATGTGTAAACTCTTCCTCAATAAAAAGAATTCCCTCTAGATACTTCTTTTCATTTCACTTCCATCTTCTTCAAATATCTTTATACTCAATTGTATAAGCCCTTCTATTTAAAAAAAAAAGAATAAAAGTAATTTTACTGACCAAGTTGATCACTGGTGTGAGCTTTCCCTTTCCCCTTCCTTTAAACAAACCTCCCCATGCACACAGGGACAGAGTTTCTGTTTCTGGAGAAGGCTGCGTCAGTAAATCCACTTTACAATACAAGTTGGATTGGGATGGGGCAGGGGACTATAATTTTCCACACATTTGTAAGTTTAGAGCTCTTACAGCGTGTAATTAGGGAAAATATTTCCAGTGGCTTCTGAATGCAATGAAGTACCATCCAAAATACAAATACACCTTTTTAATGCTCACGTAATGAGTTAAAGTATTGCCTTTCTAATGTTGGCTCCCAGAACACAGGTGTTTAACAGGCTGGCGGCCAAATGGGTGCCTGAGAGGAGCTGTGTGCGTGTGTGTGTAATTATGTTGTCTACAATTGGGGAAAATGGCTTTGCAGTAAACTGTTGTAGGCTGGAAAATAAGCTGGGTTTTCACAAGTCCTATAATTTATTAACATGATTTGGTATTGTGCTCTGTTTGTGTGTGCACCGAGGGCAGGAAGGAGTTGGTGTTCTGTAAGGATACTCCTCGACACAAATAAAAAATACGGGAGGTGGAAGTGCTTGGAAAAAGAAGCCGTTTAGAAATAGAGGGAAAGAAGTAAAGAAGTGAACTGAAAGGATATGGAGAACAAGCAGTTTGAAATGAAGTAGCATAGCACATGGGAGGAGGAGGTTGAAATGTGAGTAATAGAAACCTGACTTTCACATCAACCTGGGAGAATAAGCAGGACTGGAATTAAAATCACAGAATCACAGAATGGCTCAGTTGGAAAAGCCCTCTGAGATCATCATGTCCAACCGTTCCTGTCTACCCCCTAAACCATATCCCTAAGTACCTCATCTACCCGCTCTTTAAACACATCCAGGGATGGTGACTCCACCACCTCCCTGGGCAGCCTGTGCCAGCTTCTGACGACCCTCTCAGTAAAGAACTCCCTCCTTATCTCTAACCTGAACCTCCCTTGGCACAGCTTGGTGCCGTTTCCCCTTGTTCTATCCCCCATCACCTGGGAGAAGAGCCCAGCACCCACCTCTCTCCAAGCTCCCTTGAGGCAGTTGGAGGTGGTGCTGAGGTCTCCCCTCAGCCTTCTCTTCTCCAGGCTAAACAAGCCCAGTTCCCTCAGCCGCTCCTCAGCTCTGTCCTGCCCCGCAATGAAGTGAACCTCCAGAGGAGGGGGACTGGCCAAAATCCTTTGCAACGGAGCTGTTCATTCATCTTAAAACTCTTGGATTCAGCAG